TCTATATGTTTACAACTGCCTATAGCCACAAATGCAGAAATAAGGCTCACATATATAAATAAATAAACAGTTCTTTCATATAATATTTATTAGAATAATACTAAGAATTATTTCCCCCCTTCTTACCAATCCATCTGCTCCCATTCGTCCTCGTCCGGACACACGGAATGCCACTTCAGCTTCCCAGTGTTCAAAACTTACAGGGTTTTTTGTCCATACCGAACCCTTCTGGCTTCGCAGAGAGGGGGTGATTCGGATCTGATCTGAACTAGGAATGGCATCTGGAGAGAAGATGGAAATGGGAAAATGCATGAATAGAAAATTATTTAATATTTATTATTTAATACTGATATTAAGAATATACTATATCATTGAGAAACCTGATCTGATGTAAACAAGTTTCCCCAATTAATTTTTTTATTAAAGGGTTGTTTCTCAAAACCAGGAAGAGCTGAGGTAAGAAAGCTGGTTTCTGAGCATTTGTCAGTTACCAAAGCCATCAGTATCTCTTATATTAGAGAATATAGAAAGTATTTACGTTATATAATTTTATCATCACACACCCAAGTAATATCTGGCACAATACCAGGTTTAAGAGCAGAGACTTCCCTGACAGCATACTTCTCGGTTGAGATAAATCGATTTAAACAGAACAACATGACAGAAACCACAACATTAAATCTGATGACTAAGTAAACAGCATTTATTGCTCCTGCCGGCTAATATGTGCAGTGTATATGAGAGATTTAGGAAGTGTTGCAAAACAGAACTTTGCTCTTCGCACATGCCAAGACAGATTTGTTTAACCCTTTAGGAAAACTAGTGCCATGTCAGCTGTGAAACTGCATGCATATATTTACTAATCACAGTTTTAACAATCTCACCAAAATTATGCATAAAAATGACACTTTTTATTAAAAAGCAGCTGTTGTTTTCTCAACACACCATAAAAAACACAGCTGGCAGTGCACCAAACATATCAGAACTGAGTGTGTGCATAGTTTACCTTAATATGTGTTACAAAATATCATAATTTGCATTATTACAAGAAACCCCACATGCAAAAGCAATGCAACCTATCATTCACTAATGATTGCACAACTGGTTCAGTTCATTTCAATGCAACTTCACATAAATTTAATGGGGAATTTAAACTACAAGTATGTACATGGACTAAACATACTGACAGATAACAGACAGTGATACAGCTGGATGGATAAACTTACTCCCAGTATGAATCCAGAATGGGATACTTCCATCGCTCTGTGTCAGATGTGGCCCTTTGAAACTGTATTTATACTCAAAGCGCCGGTGCGGCGAGTCCTCGGCAGCATTGTCAGCGAAAGCGTGCGGAAATATTAAAGATATTAGTAATAAATAGGCATAAGCTGCCAGGCACTTGGCTATGGGCACCGCCATGTTTGAGTCTGAGTGCTGACGTAGCGCAGAGAAGGGCGGGATGACTGAAAACTCTGAAGGGCCAACAGGGCGCTCTCTCATTGGCTGAAGCGCTTGATTGACAGACGGGGAATTAATGAGAGAACCGCTTTGAGTCTCTTTTTCAGTTACTGATAACTTGGTACTAGATGTGTCATAGCCATAGACTGTATAAAAACAGGTCATAGCATACTAGTAAGTTACTATAGTAACACAAATTTTTGCCAAAGAGGTGTTAACAGTTATTCTTGCCGCGGTAAGATTAAATTTATATGAGCTTTTTTCAGACTGTTTAGACTGGCGGCTAATACCGTATTTTTGATAGGCTAGCACCAGGGGTTAAATTGGGATTTGATATGGGGTGGGGGGGCTCTATGGTTTGGGGCATATATATATATATATATTAGTGGTGTCAAACGATTAATCGCATCCAAAATAAAAGTTTTTACTTACGTAATATATGTATGTGTACTGTGTAAATGTATTATGTATATATAAATACACACACATACAGTATATATTTTGAAAATATTTACATTTATTTTACATTT